CAGAGGAGAGATAGCGCGACCATGGCGACCACAGGTGCCCAGTTTGGCGAGGACGCCGCGAGAAGGAGAGCAGTGGCTCCGGATCTCAATGGACCTCCAATAGTTGTAACTGATACTGAAGATAGGAAGAAGGAGCTTAAGCCCGTTGTAAGTTTGCTGCGCCATCCACCATATCGGATGCCCCTTTCAATATGGAAGCTGACGGGAATCATAGAGACAAGCTGGAGGGATCGATATTGAGCCTATATTAGCTCCATTATTGTTCACAATCTTGTCGTTTTTCACAAGGCTGTATAAAATTGGACTTTCTGACGTAGTTACGTGGGATGAAGCTCAGTACGTAGTTCTTTGGGTGGGGCACAAAGGAAAACGACGATCACGGAAACTTACAAGGGTGTTTATAGTTTTGGAAAATTCGGCTCTCACTACCTTAAGCGTGAATTCTACTTCGATGTGCATCCTCCCCTAGGAAAGATGCTTGTTGGTCTCTCAGGGTACCTTGCAGGTTACAATGGTTCCTTTGAGTTCAAGTCTGGAGATCACTACCCGGCGGATGTCAACTTCACTTTCATGAGGGTTTTCAACGCCGCATTCGGCGCACTCTGTGTTCCGCTTGCGTACTATACTGCGAAGGAGTTCAGGCTCTCAACTAAGGCGACTTGGTTGGTTACGTTGATGGTATTATGTGGTAAGTTTTTGTGTATCCACTGGAGCTTTGTACCATGTTGCATAGCTAATGACGATGTCGTGTAGAAAACTCGTACACTACCATCAGTAGATTTATCTTGCTCGACTCCATGCTCTTGTTTTTTACCTTCACGACTATGCTCTGCTTTGCGCGGTTCCACAATCTCCAAAGCCGATCGTTTTCCTTCCAATGGTGGCTCTGGATTGTCTTGACCGGATTGTCGATTGGGTGTGTGTGCAGTGTCAAATGGGTTGGATTGTTTGTTACCACTTTGGTTGGGTTGTACACCATTGAGGATCTCTGGAACAAGTTTGGAGATCTTAAGATGCCGAAGGTACGTTTTTGTATGCGTTTGCGGCTGATCAAGGCTTACAATCTTTTAGATCACCTATGCGCAACATTGGATCGCCCGTGTCATCGGCCTCATCGTAATCCCGACCATAGTTTACATGGCCAGTTTCTGGGTCCACTTCCTCATCCTAGAGAATTCCGGTCCCGGTGATGCCCAGATGAGCTCACTCTTCCAGGCCAATCTTAGAGGTTCAGAGATCAAAGAATCCCCTCTTGAAATTGTTATGGGGTCTCGTGTGACCATCAAGAATATGGGTTATGGTGGTGGTCTTCTTCACTCTCACGTTCAGACATATCCCGAGGGTTCAACGCAGCAACAAATAACCTGCTATCACCATAAGGATTCCAACAACGACTGGTTTTTCAACCCTGCCCGTAACCAACCAGACTATAACCCGGAGGACCCCGTTCTTCGATATGTCGGCAATGGTGACGTCATCCGTCTCATCCACGCACAGACCGGTAGAAACCTTCACTCTCACGCTGTGCAGGCACCCATTACCAAAGCAGACAACGAGGTATCATGTTATGGAAATATGACCGTTGGTGATGACAAGGATCACTGGACTGTCGAGGTTGTCAACGACGCCGCAAGCAAGGACCACAGCAAGATCAGGACTCTCACCACAGCATTCCGTCTCAAACACACCAGTCTCGGATGCTACCTCCGTGCCGGAAATGTGAACCTCCCACAGTGGGGTTTCAAGCAGATTGAAGTCACTTGTGTCAAGAAGAACAATCCCCGTGATGTGTTTACTCACTGGAACGTTGAATCTCACTGGAACGAAAAGCTCCCCAAGGCAGATGTCGGTGCCTACAAGTCACCTTTCCTCCGTGACTTTGTTCACTTAAACGTTGCCATGATGACTTCAAACAATGCTCTTGTTCCTGACCCAGACAAGCAAGATGACCTCGCGTCCCAGTACTGGCAATGGCCTATTCTCCATGTTGGGCTGAGGATGTGCAGTTGGGATGATGGCATTGTCAAATACTTTCTCCTTGGCAATCCAATGGTTTACTGGGGTTCTACCGCCTCTCTGGGTGCTCTTGTCTTGATGGTATTGTTTTACCTTGTCCGATGGCAGCGTGGCTATGCCGATCTTGACCAAGGTATGTATCTTCCCTCAATTTTCTCTCTATACTCTAAACTAACGAATCCAAATAGCCGGTATTGACCATATCCACTACGCTGGACTCTATCCGATTATTGGTTGGGTTCTCCATTATCTACCCTTCATTGCTATGGCCCGTGTCACCTACGTCCACCACTACTACCCGGCGCTCTACTTTGCTATCTTGGTCTTTGGTTTCGTATTCAACCACGTCTGTAGCAAATTGCCAAAGGTGGCAGCTCTTTCCGCATATGCGGTTGCCTACTCACTTGTTATTGGCGTATATGTATTGTTTCTCCCCATTTCATGGGGTATGGAGGGAGCAGCGAGCCAATATAGCTACCTGAAGTGGAGCGATAACTGGAGAGTCTATTAAATAGCGCAAGATATCAATATTGTTTTCTTTTTTACTGGGTGGGACTATTGAGGATGGGGTGGGGTATAAAAACTGGAATACTTTTTTGCGGTTAGACGCATAGGAATTGAGTGCAGTATGGGAAAGAAGAATAATCTCTTGTTTTTTGTTCTTTTATTTGCTTATTATTTATTAGCATGAACCTCTGTCCATAGCTTCGTAGTAGTATTTCGAGTGCGTTTTTCGATTTTGTAAGAGTGTGAAAGTTATTGGCAAGCGAGGGTCATTTGGGTTGGGGTTTATCTTGGTTTTCTTCAGTGGTTCTGATAATGGTAATAACATCATTTTCATGAGCGGTAGTGTGTGTGTACGGTATTGGTATTGGTGTTGGGTCTGTTTAAGGAATAAAACGGTTGCCAGGAACTACATTATATTCACTGTTTATCACTCGGGGGCTTTCTCTTGGCATTTCCGATGATACTTGAGACTCATTGTACCACCACGCCCGATGAGCTTTGCGGCAGCACTAGCCAAGTTGAAATCATATGATAAGCCTCTCTGGAAAGCTTTAGTCCCACCGTATAATAGGGAGCCGTAATTTTGTTGGGAGATCAATTTCTGTGAGCCACTCTCTTGGTGTCCACTGGCTTTAGGGTGGACAGCATTTTTCGACAGACGGAATTTCTTCCTACTATTTATGTTTTATTGCTCGCATGCTTATACATCTCCCCGCAGGCAAAATAAATAGAAATAAAAATAAGTGAGTCTAATAGCGATAAAGAGTGTTTTAAGTTAGTATTATACAAGCCGATTCTGGCCTTCGATCGGCCGGTGAGGACAATGAAATAAAGAAGAATGACGACTAGTGTCACTAGAGAGGTGTACTATCGACACTATAGAGGTGTACTGCCGCTGCTCTGCCTGCTAAAAAGGTGAACCATCGCTATCCTGTTAATGAGATATTCTTTAATCAATTGAGTTGTACTATCGCCACGCTGCTATGGAGGTAAACATATCACAATCACCAAAACATATAATCACAATCACAAAACAATCCCAAATAATATGTACCTAAAACATATCACAATCACCGAATAACAGAATAACAACAAAAAGAAACGATAACCTCCAGCATAACCTTTCTTTTTAGCTAACTCACCCTATTCAATAGCTCGAGAAAAAGAAACATCCATAACTCAGCTAATCAAAACCTTTGAATATTCGGTATATCTATATACTAATAGGATATTATCACTAGAGTCTCGCTGATTGATTGATTTATAATTCATTAATCGTGTGCAAGAGTCTCGCTGATTGACTGTATTGTATGATATGATACTCGGCCGAATCTACTATGAAATACAAAATCTAATCAATTAGGCAAGAAGAGCACCATAGCCAAGAACCTCAGAATCACAAAATCCGAACCGACCCCCTGCACCAACTACAACTACGCCATTGATCAGGCGCCTCTGGGTCGTTCGCCCACTGCCCACATTCACACTCGCGATTCCTCACCCTACGAATCGTCACATCCTGGGCTAAAAGCTCTAGCGAATGTTCATCAGCTGGAAGATGGCCATCCTCTATGGCGCAGCCCTCCACGTATCGCATGTACTTGTACTCAAGACTCGCTCTTTTATGCTTTTCCCAACAGGGCACACACATCCAGACCGCATTTTCGTCGTTTGCTGAGCCACAAAAACAGGGGGGTTCGGAATTAAACTTGGTACACAGTGTCTGGTGGTACCTGTACCTGCTCATGAGCATTGCTTTTTTGTAGACAGCTGAGACATAGTCGAAGTCGTTATGTGTTGTGTAGTCCTAGAAAGGAATTAGGGATTGGGAAACCATATATGGGTGTGTGCGAGCACTTATTATACATACAGTGTAGGTCTCCACTTCATAGATTCCACATAGGATAATTTCATCGGTATCTTCAGGAATGGACTTGAGAACATTTCTCAAAAGACTAGGGTGCCCATGGTGATCAAACTGACATGTTTCTTCGAACATGCAGGTTTCTCTTGTACGGGAGATGAGAAATTTCCAGTAATCTCTTGGGGGATCATCGAGACCGAGGGATTGGTAGGTGCTGCGGGAGATAAGGGCGAGCCTTTTAAGATCTCTTTTGGAGATGTAGGACACTAGTATGCTAAGAACAGGGTGAAGAGTGAGGAGGTAGGTTAATGTGGATCTCATGCTCATGACTGGCTTTAGTTGTCTTGTGGCTGTGACAGAATGGTGCTATAGTGATAGTCTACGGCGTGATTATTTAGAATATGGGTAATTGGCCGGGCCCTCTGAGGGGAGCTTGAGGGCATATATATATAGCTCTGCGAAAGACCGACTGAAAGTTGGGCTTGGCACAATTCATACAGAATCAAATTTCTGTAAACAAATTATTTCGAGGTGACACGGAAGAAGTTTGTGCATGGCTTGGGTTCTAGAATATCACCAGATATGTAAAAGGGCCCGGCTGCTGGCGAGCGGCTTACGTGCGATTGGCTATTGCGTAGATATATATCATGCCTCTTAGAGCCCTCTCTATGTAGAATATTTTCACTAACAAAATAGAAAAGTAGATTATAAACCATACCTTCCGAATTCACTGAGTAGGGGTGGACCGCGGATGGCCAAGTGATATTAAAAACAGTGATAGCTGTAGTGATCAAACATATTTATTACTATGGGCAGGATCGAATATCGGAGGGGATATGTCTATAGCTAGGCACTGCGTTACTGTTGTTCTACTGTGATAGTTCGTATAACGAGCGAAATTCCGAGATTCAGGCTTTGTTTGACTTAGACAAGGGTTTTGCAACTGAAATATTGACATCTCCAGTCCCATAACAGGTGTGCGAGGTTATGTAAGTAATCTTCAGATCTAATATAAGGATATAAATGAGACTATCGATATATGCCTTACTCAAACCCTAGCACTCTGTCCATTGTGTATTCTCCTAGCTGACTGAGTGCTTACTCTAGCCAGCACCCAACAGTCCAAATACCTGCTATCCAGCATCTTCACTTACTGCCCGTGCCCGATTTCCTGCGCAGTCTCTACAAAGGATTAACATCGTTACACTTACAATAAAGCCACCTATGGAATAGAAATATGATATACCTTAACCAATGTCATCTTGCCCTTGCCCTTGCCCTCTTTCTCCTCACGTTTCTTAGACTTCGCCTCTGCTATCTTCGGATCAGCCCGTTCTTTATGCCAATTACTGTTGTAACCCGCGGTGATTACTTGGGTATGATTGGGTTCGTGCGGCGGTGGCGAGCTCGAAGTGAGGTCACGGTCAGTGATGTAAAGGAGGAGCTTTAGTACCGACATTGAGTTTTGTTTCGTATGGCCAATGAACACAAATTAGTGCTTGTATTTGTAGCACTCGACGGAGTTTGGGGTAATAATAAGACTGAATTGAAGCTTCCAATGGTGGTGTGTTAGTGTGGTTGACATCCAGCGCTGCTGGGATTATAGAGTTTGCGTAAGGTTAAGTTTACATTGAATGGTAGTTTGAGAAAAGACGAAAGATCAGGTTATAAAGTTTAATGGGTTGACGTAAGAGCCCATTTACCAATAACCTTTCCATTCTACGGACTAGACTCACCAGAGCCTCCCTAAAAGAATTACTTGTGCATATTCTCTTCCTACTACCGTCCCGTTCAGCCCCCTTCCCTTCCACATCTCGCTTCTTTCTAAATCCTTACCTGACAACTGATTCCATCCCTTTTTATCACTGTTCATCACTGTTCATCCATCTCTCGAACATCCTGTGATCCTTCCATCTAAATATAAAAAGGCTCGAACCCAGACATTTATTTTTCCTAATCTCCCTTAATTTTCTTCTAAACACCCAATCTCTCTTGCTCTCACACAGCCCCGTGGTCCATAACTCAAACACTCATTCTCACTCGACTTCCATCTGATCTTCCATCTGATCTTCTCACGATCACCCACTCTTCTCGTCAAATCATCCTTCTTCAAACAAATATTTCTCCACAACTCTCTATAGCCTCATCAAAAATGGACTCTCCAGTCAAATCCTCTGAACTATCCTCTGAAATCCCAATTGGGATCAAAGACGTCGAAGAATGGTCCATCATTGCCATCATCAGATACGCCAACTCCATCGAGTACGAAGGACCCATGCTTCCTGTCATCGATAAATTCCTCAAAGAGGTCAAGCAGAAGTATGAGATGAACAAGTACAGAATGCATTCTGGAACTTATCATAAAGCTTGTTTGGCTTTGGAAGCGTTTGAGGTATGCTTGTTCGGATCCTATTGTTTCATGTCAACTCGATCATTGGTATTTCTAATAATAGATATCGTACTAACAAGAAATAGAAGGACATGGAACTGTTCAAGTATGCCCTCCAAATGGGCCGAGACATCCGTGAAAATATGCACTATATCCTGGAACAGACCAAAATTCCCGATATGAAGCCTGAGGAGAAGGCCGCTCAGATGCAGAAGGCCATTGCTGTGGAGCGCGAGGAGAAAGACGCTTTGTCTAAAGATGCTGCCATCAAGGCGTTAAAGGAATTTGTCCAGAGGGAGTTCGCAGACAAGAAGAAGAAGGAAAAGGCCCTAGAGAAGGGCGGAGAAGAAAATCTTCAGTCAGTCAATTTGGAGGATATTAAGTGCAATCAATGCACGATTCCAGTCTCTGTAGAAAAGGTCATGTGCTACAAATGCCACGTGGATCATGAGAGATCAATCCTGGCTCCTGGCCGTAAATTCAAAAACAGGAAAGAGGAGTTAAAGTTCCGCGAAGAGCAAAAGATCGCCGAGCGCAGAGAAGCAAGACTTCTCAAGGAGAAAGAAGATGCAGCAAGGTATCGGTCAAACAGCGACTTTGTCCGTGAGTGCTACGAGATCCAGCAGGCCCAGAAGAGGAAGAGGGAGGAGCAGCAGGAAGCCCAGGAAATCAACGTTAGGACAATCAAGAAGGTCCGCAAGACAATGGTCGACAAGGATGACGACGCTACACACCCTGATCGATTTTATGCTCCCCTCAGAGGTTTCTGCGCCGATGCCGACTTTCCCAGTAATCCACATCAGCCGGCTCTTGTTGCGCCACCACCGCCAAAGAGGGCCGCTCAGCCATCCCAGGCGAAAGATAGCAACAAGCCTATCGGGAACGCTCAACTCAGTGCGATGTTCGTTGGGTTGCCAAAGCCTGGAATTTAGAAGACTTGGATCGATATCGGGTGTGGGGAGGTCTAAGGTGGAGATTAGGTATTAAAACAAAAGGTCGAGGCCCGAGAGATAAACATTTTCATGTCGATATCGTTTCATGTGCTCTCATTTAGCCCTTTCAGGCCATATTCTTTTCTTTTGTCTCCTTTGTTTCTACTTCACAAAAGATCTTCCATAATTTGTCGGTATTGTGTAATAAGGGACTTACTTACATGTATGGAATTGGCTACTTAATTCTAAGTGCATATAGCATCCCGTCATGAGCGCGATTTCATGCAAATATGATCATTGATATACGAGTGAATTAGCATCAATTAGGGAATACGTTGTTATCGACAGTACATGTTGCCAAATGGAAAAATGGGCGAGATGAACACATAAAAACACCGCATGTAGGCATGAGACATAATATTCTTACTGGGAATTATTTTGGTGGACAGGCTGACGAATGTTTTATCTTAGCCACTGCAGTTTGTTGCTGTTGATAAATCGGTAAGAGGTGATTTATTGCAAAGGACGGAGCCAGGTTACCTAAGTACTTATGTAACTATTTAACTGATCTACAATAAAGCCAGGTATCATCTCACTACGTATACTTGGGTGGACCACGTACCCACTTCTCCAACTTAAACGACCGTCATTGTTGTCCTTTAACGACAGTGGTTACGTATTACTTACTGCGGCAAGCTCAATTTGATATACCAGACTAAACACCCAACCTCGCATCCCGGTTCTTGATACCGCATCAATCATTAGTGGGCGAGCTAACAGCGTTCACGTCTGACTATAGATCTACACTCAAATACTCCATATGCTGCGCGGTAAACATAGAGGTTAGTATGTAACTCTACACATGCCCATATTCAGCAAAGCCCTATATGACTGAGCAGCGACAACAACCCTATCTATAGACCCCGAAACCACGCCGATAACCTACATCTCCACAGTCAGTCTTCTTTGTAGGCCGTTTGTTTCGATACCTTCATGCATTTCAGGGGATACTATTATACGCACATAAAACAGAATACAAGCTAGACTATCACTCATATCCCCAGGCCATGTCAAATAGTATCAGCAGCAGAAGGCGATTACAAAAAACACCCACCCAGCCGGGCAAACAACCAGACTCCTCTACAACCCTACATGCTCTTTATTACCTCCCTCTTGTAGGGACATAAATCGCTGTCGGTGTCGTGGCGCTAGCTACTCGCGCCTAGGGCAGACTCGGGAGTAGCTGTCTAGGTGTCTACGCAACATAACTGCCCCAGTAGCATTAAACGACCTGGAGATATGCTGAGGTATTACCTAGACACAAGAACGTTGCTTTGGGATATTTGATGGTTGGTAGTTGCGCGGGTTCATGTGGAGGGACTGCATCATGAGGTATCACTCGGTCATGGTTATGGCCCGCTAGGATGGCAATAGGGAGATAGTTGGCTCGACCGTCGGTGCAGGATAGTTTTCTGGCTATATAGTTTGTGTTTATGTGTTAATTACTTACACTCCGGTCGCTTGGGGATTGAGATCTAGAGGGATAGCTCGGGGTAAATCTACGAGGGTGGTAGGACTATAGACTTTCTCTACTTTTGCATATATCTAGTCAAATTAGTCTCGTTCCCAGACTATATCTGCATATCTAAATGCAAAAGAGTCTGGGAACGAGACTATATACTTACCTAAAATACGGGACGAAAGGGGACTACGGGGGCATTTCACTTTCACTTCCCTCCACAAGTAGAATAGAACACAGCTACATCAGCAAGCTCGGGTATTACCCAGGTGCAGCCCCTTCATCCTGGCAGGCATTCCATGCCCCGAACGCCTACCACATCTGACACTACCAGTGTATACCGCTCGCACCCGGCTCCATCCCAGGAGCGCCTAACCTTCCGGTACCGCCAGGAGATATGGCACACGTCCGGATGGCACTCGCCAACACTCTGCTCGCATGGGCCGTCATGAGATTACCTCCCCTTCCGGAGATGCTGGAATGGAGTGACCCTGCCTATAGCACCTATGGAACTTTTGCTTCTTTTGATTACATCAGTAGTACCATGCGAGCACTTCCTAATGCTCTCACAGTTTTCTTGAATGCTTTCATGGCATGACGAATGCTCTTACGGCATGGTGAATTTTCTCACGGAACCGGGATTGCTCCAGCGAATGCTTCTGCGAATGCTAACAGAGCTGAGGCATTCGTCATACCCACTCAAGCTGAGGCAACACTCACTTTACCCCCTTTGTATTAATACACCGTCGTCAAAGAATAGGAAGGCACCAGTCCCTCAAATGATATTTAACGTGGGTATCCTCAATGCCGCTGTACGGTCAGTCCCGGGATACTGATATGAGCACTGTCCTGTATACTGGTGATAACTAGGCAACCTTTGATGGAGGTGTATGTTTCTGTCGATTCGTGAAAGGTATAATTAGCCTTGAGGTCGAGGCCATGGTACGACTCATCTGAAAAGCTCAATGTCCATGCATAAGCAGCAAATATGGACTGAGATTGCCCTCTTGCAGCGAGCTTGCTGGATAGCCAGATTCAGATACTGAGCGGCTGAAACTTTACCTCCTTCTTCCAATACGCATGCATAGCAGAATGACTCGAATTTTGAATTAGAGAGGCCAATTGGGTCTAACGTTCCTGGAGCACTCATGAATGCCCTCACAGCTTTGCAAGCATTCAACTAAATTCATTCCATATACGTAAGTCTATCCTAGTATTTACCAACCAATTACCAGTCTCCACCTCAAACAAATGAGCTATTCCCAATATACTCCGAATATTAATGACCTACACCCTCTTACTCCTCCTCCTACAAACCTTCAGGAGCCCATTTAAACTATCAGCAATATCACAATCCTTTGCCTCGAGTAGCTCCACTATATATAGCTTATTTGCTAGCCCTCCACTATCCCACAGCTTGAATAAAGCCTCCACACTTCCTGGTAAGCGTTCTCGAAACACTCCCCACTCCTCTGAGGATGCTACCGACATCCATACTCAATCTTTTCTTATTTCCCCTTTCCTAAAAGCCGTATTTCCTGTACATCCAATATTGTGAACCTTGTATACTTCATGTCTTTGGAAGATTGGTATCGGAGCCTGCAAATATGTGAATATCTCCACCCGGCACTCTAAAATGCTATTAAAGCTTCCGGCAAAGCTTTGAGAGCATCCCGCATCCTCTGCATACTCCTTTATCAGGCGATATAACATGGTATGGCTTATTTGCAGTCCATCCGCAATATTGAAAAGTCTTTCCGATTTCGTGGAGGGGTTGCAAAGATGCATTAGAGGCAACTCTCCTTCTACTATGGATTGTTCATTTGGGGTTTTTTTCCGGTCTTCAATTTTAAAAATGTCAAGTAACTCCTTCAGATTATCTCGATCGCTTCAAAGGATGTCGTCAATGCTTTCATGACCTCCAACAATATCTTTCAGATTCAGCATTCAATTCTCCAATGCTCACCGCCGTCTACCATATCCAGTATCTGTGCTGCAGCATCGACCTTGTTGGATGCTCCGTATGCCTCTTTTACCTAATGTACATGGACGAGTTCGCTGATGTCGGGTGAGTACTGGGGAATACTCCCAAAGCGCTCGACATGTTCCCGATAGTGTGATAATACGTACAATTTGATGAAGTTGAAGTGAGACCTTTCTTGTATCTCGCGAATCTTCTCTAAGTCTCGCTGAACACTCTGGGAGCCTGAGGTATTTAAAGCTTTTGTCCGATTTCTCGCATCCTTAACCGTTCTCTTGTATGCCTGAAATTCTAAAAAAATATCCTTGTGCTTATGGAAATCCTTAAAATAGCTCTCCGTGTAATTCAGTGTCCTCGTCATATGACTCCTATACTGCGCCATTAATTGGAAAGTCGATTAAGCCTCGTACATATTTCAATGCCTTTGCGAGGTTGCCCCTGACAGCCACCCCCGGATTTCTCAAAGAAACCGTGAGTGCTCTAAAAATAACATGCCAGTGCCCCAGATTTCTCATCCCCTTCTCTTGCTATTGGGTTGTGGTATGATATGCCTTGTTCGGTACTGACAGTTCAGGGTAAGGCGCAATCGAGGCCCAAGCATTGTCAAATTCCTTCAATTGATTGTGCTTCTTCAAGAAAGCCTGAACCCACTCCATCATATGCTTCGATATCTCTAGGTAGATATTGTGCAGGATGTCTGGTTTGTTGAGATCGTACGGATTAATCCTCGGTATACCCCAGAAAGCATTGAAGTGGGTTTTCACTGATCTCGCGACAAGGTATTCCACTGGTCTCAGGTTTCCCAACTTCTCCCTGAATAGCTTTACCCTCTCCCAGTAATCCTTATGATCACGCTTAGGGCTTCAGCGAGTGCTCTCAAAACTGTGGAATTCCAACTCGCATCTTGGACAAGAACTAATACTAATATTTTGTAAGTTTGTATGCTTAGGTTGATCAGCGATCCAACCTAACAATACCGGAAAGCATAGATATTCGTACCCGTCGGTGAATGCGATTAGCTCTCCTTCCTGAGAGCACTCCCAAATGCTCTAAAAGATCTCCCCAAGGGTGCGATGCAGCGCCATTTGACTCTGACATCGTAAACCGGAATTAGCGAGTGAGTTATTTCCGAGCTTAGATGGGACTGGCAATAGCCCTAGGAGAATTAACGAATGCAAAGTGGGCTTGCTCCGGACCGATGACTTGATATTGTAACGGAGCCATTTCAACTATCTGGTGTATAAGTACACACAGGGCCCGGTTACATGCTGAGAGTTATTGTTAGAAGCCAGTTGCATAGTGAGATGCAAGTACCGGCAGTGTAGTTACCTACCAGCTGTTAGAGTAACTACATTCTGGGCGCTAGGAAAGGGATCTATTCACGGGAGCAATTACTGACAAGTCTATGCCTTGCCAGTGACTAAAAGGCCGGCCAGAGTGAAGCTCTGATTGCCTGGTGATCCTCTGTATGCTTTGAGCATTATAAATCCATCAATAGTGGCAGGGACTATGCTAGGGAAGTCTACAATAAGTGAAAAGCTCTACAGCAATGATTAAGCTTACACCTGAACGGCAGCTTATTCATGCAGGCTCCGGTTGTGTGGCAACTAAGGCTGCTGCAGGTATTACAAAGGCTTTGACTAATGTGGTTGCCTTGAGTATCGGAAACACCTGCTGACGCTTAGAGAAAAGCGTTATAGCGGTGGTATTGTTTCCCGGACCGAGAAAAGGCTTCACCGGAACTTAGTATGGAGTTAGGAGCAGAGAATTGAGGCCTTCGGAGTATAAGTACTCAGGCTCATTCTTGCCCTTCAGTACTGTTCTCCCCAGTCTTCATCTGAAAGAAAACCAAGTTTTTATCGGTAGCAGAGCCCTTAAAGATTATTGAGTTCTAGCGATAGTATCTTTGAATGATCTGCAACCTGATTGTCTATCTTGCACGACCATCTCTATCCTATCCTATTCTATTTCTCTTAGAAGAGACACCTATTACACCCCCCATCTTCTACCCAGAGCTCTCAGACTGTCGGAAAGAGACCTCATACAGTTCAACCAATCACTGCCAGAGTAATGGGCAATGCTGGAGAAATACAACTGGCATGGTACCGGAGGTTATTGCTTCTTACAACGTATCGGTGGACATGGTACAGGTTCGACTCTATCTTGCTTATTGATGCTTTTTAACATTTAAGTATTAGTGGCTAACAATTCAGAGGGGAATTCAATAGAGGATGAAAGCAATACGTAAACAAGGGAGAGCAGCACCCACTTTAGCACCTAGCCAGAATGCATCTCAAATAGCACTCCCAGTATCCCAGATAGCAACCCCAATACCCTCAAAGGCTAGGCCCTCTGCACCTGTTTACCCTCATGAGTATACCTCTTCGACATACTATATCGATTTTTTCTGGATGCGCTCTTGATACGGGGAGTCATCCCCACTTACCGGACATATCGTTCTTCACCGCCTATCGAGGTAATTGGCGAGAACTCTGTGAGCAGTCATCAGATTCCTTCAAGCCAACTTTACGGTCAAGGTCCATTGCAAAGAGTCTACGAAATCGAGTTCCTTCCCTCATTCAGGGAAGAGGACTAGAGTGCTCCGATCCAGAAAAGCAATGGTATTTCGATTCCGGAAAGTGAGGTTGGTATTCCAGCGGACACTCATGACATTTTTGAGAATACTGGTAACATTTCTTCGAGCCAATTGACTCAGAGGTCTATAGTCCCTAACTTTAGGAGTGCAAAAATGCTGTCAGTGCAGGCTCAGAGAATTGAGAAGGAGTGTAGCGTATTAATTGGGGAGTATACTCTTCTACATGAGCTCTTTCCACCTGCAACAAAACTTTCGATACTGGTAGTGAGCATGTGGGCAACTGCAAGTCACCGACTGGGGTGTAAAGTATACCTTGATGAGGTTGTTATTAAATAGGTAAGTGCCTTCAAAGGGATTACAAGTACTCTGGAGGCATAATTGAGAACGATAGGTCAGAAAGGATGCACTCCCGTATCCGTCCCCACTTGATTCACGAATTGAAATAACGCCTGTCGGACTCTACTATATATGGGCTTGGAAATCTTGTGGGGCATAAGGCAAGGGCGCCTCAAGTGGAATACCATTTGAAGAATGATCATTTCTTGAGCCCCTAAGAGCATTACGAGTTATGATGGATGCCCAGAGAGCATTCGGGATAGCCGCTGACAGATTCTAGACCTACCCACTGCGCTTCTTGGCTCTGGAAATTATCAATATATTGTATTTTAAATACTTCGATGGGGTAAAAATGCGAGGGGTTAGGGGTCCTGAATTTCTAGAACGGATAACCCCTACTCTTATTTGCCTGATATCGACAGCGATCTGGTACGACATTCGGACGTGGTCAACAGGGAGTTACTTGAAGCCTAATAATTTTCAGTTGCAGAATGAGAATATTGTGAATAAGTATGGCCTGATGCGCTCATTGATATGGCGAGTACCTTGAGAGCAATGGCGGATGCTCCTAGGCATATGCTCCTAGGCGTATATGGGATCGCTGAGCAGACATCCAAACTCGAGTAGAAATGTTTAATAGGATGAGCAACACTTGGAGAAGTAAGCAAAACCATGAGGACACTTTGGAGGTAATAAAAGATAATCTTTGAGAAAAGGTATGACACTTCTAGATGCCGGTAATGCGAGTGGTATTCTAAATGCTAACCCTGATAGATACGAGATAAGAAAGGGGTAACTATTGAGGTAATATTAGAGGAGGGTTTTAGCGAGGACGATGAAACACTGGCTGCAGATCTTACCGCATTCTGAGATGCTCAGAGAATACCCATGAGTGCTCCAGGAGATCGAGTTGATTCCAACAGCGCTCTAAACGAAGTGATCAATGCCCAACTTTGCGGCATTAATACCGAAGAGAAGGGGGAGGAAGAAGAAGAGGGGCCGGAATTACCTGTAGTGGGAGATTATGAAAGGAGGGGGGGAGGGGACAGGATGTGTAAAACAATGGCGAATACTAAAGAAGATAGTGGGGGATTTGTTCTTTTCCGTAGATTGTATTAGGGTTAGTCAGTTAGGGTGTTAAATAATGTATTGTTTTGGTATTAGGTGGAGGATCACGGTGTTGAATAGACCAATTCTAAAAGTGCAGTCACGAGTTCTCTGTAGGCAGTAGAGATCGTCGTGCGAGTGATGTTTTGGAAATCTCATGGGGGAATTTCATAGATCGATTAGTGAATAAACTGGGTTATGAGGAGTTAGATTAGTCAGAAAGATTCTGTTGGGTTCTATCGGGTTCTGTTGATTGTAAGCGTATGAGTCACTTTGGATTTGTTATAACGGAGATTTCCTTGAGTATATTAGGATGGTTCGCCCTCGTTTCTTGTTCTTTTTCTCTTCTTTCTTTCTTTACGCAACGTCTTCTGTACCTACCCTGGCTGTTACTATACAATATTACTTTCTCTTCTTTACTCCAGAAGACCGCTGTGCCGCTGCTTCCTTTGTCCTATTGACCTGCACCAACGCTATAATTTCTCGAGACCCCTATTACGGGCTCCCCTACTGACCTCTACTACCCCCTTCGTATCTTGCGGAATACTTACTACTCTTACCCTTGAGAGGGAACTGTGAATATCAGAGGCCAGTACGGCAGAGAAGTGTATGTCTGGAGAGAATGGGGCACTGACATATAGGAATCGGTACATCGGGCATGAGCCAGGTTTCAAAGCACCCGATCCGGCAAAGTCAGGAGGAGCCAGGGCAATTATTCTATCCCAGGGCCCGCTGGAGCAGTCGGGAGTGTTCCAGGAGCAGTCAGGATATACAAGCGAGCAACTGGCATTCTCTGGCGATCGGACTGATGTCTGGGTTGCACAGAGCACTAGGATTAGGCGTCGGAGTACGTTGGGCAGAGTAGTGTACACTGGAGTAGACAACCGTATGCCAGAGCTCACCAGGAGTGCTTGCCGTATTTCTGGAGAGGTGGTTTCCCTCCCGAGTGGCCTGAGCACCCTGAGCACCCTGAGCACCTCGGGCGTCTGGTGAAGGCTGCAGGTTTGCTGATGTATATCCCTATTGACCTCTCGGACAGCACCCAGAGATCAAAAGGGAGCTGCACTCTTTCTCTTTGCGGAGGTGAAGACGAGGAGCAGGAATTGGAGGGTGGTGGGGGGAACTACGTGGGGCATCCCAACTCTCCGCCACCTCTCCCCTTCCCTCCACAAAGAGGAAAGATGTACAGCTGAATCCCTATCGACCCCTCGGACAGCGCCCAGAGGTCAAAAGGGGCTGCACCTTTTTCCTCCTTACGGAGGAAAGCGGAGGCAACAAATTAGGGGGGGGGGGGGGGGGAGGCCACGGGCGGAGGCTGCAGGCGGGGCGGGTAACAGGGTGCTACTCTACCCTACTTCCCTCCGAGAGCAGAAAAAAAGCACAGCGGGATCCCTATCAACCCCTCGGACAGAGCCCAGAGGTCAAGAGGGTGCTGCGCTTTTTTCCTCCTTGCGGAGGAAAGCGGCGGCAGAGCACAGCGGGGCGGGAGGATGCCATTTCCCTCCCGAGCTCTAGGTGCTACCCTAGAGCACGGGAGAGATCTGGCCCCCGCCCGCTTCCACCACCCTGCTCTCCCCCTCTCATGCAGGTGGGTGCCTGCTGCGTCTTCCTCCTCATGGAGGAAGGCGCAGGGGGCAAACACACATGCCGGCGAGGGGGAGAGAGGCCAGCCAGGGATCCTTCTCCCCCTCCTCCCCTCCAGAGTGCCCTCCCCACAGGGGATGGAGCTCGCAAGGGTCGAGAGGGATCTGTGGACTCTCCCCCTCTGTCCATGCTCTAGGCTCTATCCCACAGTGGGAGAGAGCCCCAGAGCACAGAGCTGGGAGGGGGGGAGTCCACAGATCCCTCCTGACCCCTCCGAGCTCTATCCCCTGTGGGGAGAGCACTCGGGAGGGGAGGAGGGGGAGGTCCCTAGATCCCCCTCAACCCCTCCGAGCTCCATCCCCTGTGGGGAGAGCACTCTGGAGGGGAGGGGGGGGAGATCCCTAGATCCCTCTCAACCCCTCCGAGCTCCATCCCCTGTGGGGAGAGCACACTGGAGGGGAGGAGGGAGGAGGGAGGAGGGAGGAGGGGAGAGAGGAGAGAGGAGAGAGGGGAGCAGCAGGGCAGGGAGAAAAGCAGCCTCTGCCACAGTCGCCCTGAGGCACACTGTGGGAGGTCTGCTCTTGCCCTGATGCTCCCATGGGGAAAAAAGAAGATTGTTGGTGGGAGGAAGGCGTGCTTTTATAGAGTAAACTTTTGGCCGACGAGCGGGGCCTGGCAGTGGTGTTTTACAAGTTAGGGTTTGCTTCGCAGTGGGTTGGTTAGGTTTAGGGCTGGAGGTTCTGAGCGGAGCTGAGGACTGAAGGGTGGTGACGAGAGTACGCATCGTCGCTCAATGCGGAATGGTAGTAGTCTCATGGCGGGCATAAAAAGGATAAACCCCGCAACACAACCGAATCCACTGTGTTTAACACCGCTCTCGAATCGCAAATGTCCTACGGGCATCACCATGGATCCGAAAATCAGAGTGGATCATGAACTATCACTCTCTCCCATCTATCAGCATCACCGCGAGCTAGACTAGGCCTGGCGTATGACGCTTTCGGCCTACCTAGTCGAGCTAGCTCGTGGATTTCTTGAAGTCATTATCCCCAGTTGCACTCCTACTACATGCCACTCCGCCGGCAATAGATTCCCTGAGTGGCACAGGAAGAAACACCCTGGGTATGTGGACAAATCAAGGCCGCCGTACGGCTGAAGTTATCCCCAGCCCTGGCGAGTGAGGCTAAACAATAACTGAACCGAACACTGCGGCAAACAAAAGCTCCCATTCATTGCAATTGGGAAAAGCCTAAGAATACATATTGACCGACAAAAGAACTTCATCACTTGGGCCATGGGGGTGAAGGCGCGGGTCAAAGTCTCATTAACCTGGATGTGAGGAGGCACAGAACTAGAGCCGGGCTATGGAAGGGTGGCATTAACCAGCCTGGCCGCGAACTGAAAGATCCCTTTGATTGGAGTGGTGGTCTTGAACAAAGTACAGAATATCTACAAACAAGATCTCGGGAATATATCGTGGGTTGAAGACTGATTTTTCTTTTTTCTTTTTTGCTTAATTCATTAATAGTTGAAAACTGGTAATAATGAGGACCCGAACCGCAGACCATTAAGAGTCTATGGGAAGGCTAGGACTGTACTTTAATCTGATTAAAATTTGCTCAGCCTCAGAGCTCAGGTGATTGAGCTGGCGACTAGAGAGGATGTATGAGTGCCAGCTGTATATAGGATTACAAGGAACCACGCCCCCACAAAGAACCGACATCGAGCAGACCCTAAACCCCGTAGAGTACCACGCTGCCCAGGGGCACCTACTGAGCCGCACATCAACACTCCTTTCATCGAGAAACCACACACACAGTACCAAATGTCGTAGGGCAGATTATCGGAATAGGTGTTAAGACACGTTACGACGGCTACGTGGTTGTAACCGGTTAAGCATTTGTGTTAGTTTCAAGATGCTATAAAGTTACTCTGCGACACCGAATTCATCCAATCATCATCACTCTCGTCTTCCTTCATTCGAGCAATAGAGCCCCCAGACCTCAGATAGCGAGACCTCGATCACCAACAGACTAAAAACGTCGCTAGCCGATAACTGGTGATGCTCGGAGCTTACAGTGCACGACTGACTCAACTGCTCGGCCCTACTAACTAAACATGTCGCCCAGCCTTCTACCATATCGTCAAAGCAGTACCTAGCCAAGTAACCACATCGGGGCACGGAAGTCTTTTGTTGCGGTGAATGTTATACGCCCAGCCCCGTAACCAATATCGTCCTATGAATCTCTCCCTAGTCTTTCAGAGATGGGGTTTCTGTACTTTCAGCCCTCGATGCCAGCATCCTTTACGCGGCGTCTAATTTTGCTGTTCACAGACACGCATTGTCCACTTGGAATTACTAGGGTAGTGTCGGCTTCACTCCCAACAATATCACCGGCTTGGCGCGAGTGACATGCTGTGAGGCACTAAGCTGAAAGAGGTCGGCTGCCAAGCACCTTGTAAACTAACCCAGAAGAAAGACTCTTAACAGCACGAGATCATAGGTGGCATATGGGTTATTCACTCATAGTCTCGGTATCAACAGGCCATGACCATGTAACATCCGGAGGTTCAATTCAAGACCCTCGCCCGATGCCTTCCACCGAGCACCCCCGGCGCCGGCTAGTAGCGTCACAGGATATCACTCACCCTAACTCACCCACTCATCTAGGTACCTACATGTACCTACACAACAAGCCGACCCAAAAACTGAGCACTCGAGCGCATCCTACTCTCGCAAAACCCAAACTAAACTGAACGCAAGCGACGAGCTGAAAGAAAGAAAATTAACCGCACAATGTTCAGCCGCACCCCGCCGCGCATGGGATTAGTTGTTGACACAGCCTTACATGTGCACATCGATATCACTATTCAAGTAGAGTGATTATCGTGAATTATCGTGCGAGAAAGGGAAGATGAGAAGGAACGAGGGAATCCCTAGGCATAATAAAGAGTGTCAGACATGTACCATGCTAGCACCTTACAGGGTTAGGGTTCCTTCAACCGTTAGCTAGTAGCTTAGGATAGATCAGATCAGCGGTGGGGTGGGGTGGGACCCTGGGTAAGGCAACAACCACCCACCACCACTACCGCATTCTTTGTGCTTTTTTGGTTTGTGATGCGGAAAGCTTATTCTGGGATCTCGGCTTTTTGGGAGATTGGCGGATTGGAGAATGAGTAGAGCGGGGAGGGAGTATGAGCTGTTCTTATGTATGGATGTGCCGTGGGAGAGTAGAGCGCGATTGGGTTTTGAGATTTACCGCAGACGTGCGTGTGTGGTGGGGTAGTTAGAGTAAGTAGGAATAGGGCGTTTAATGAGGGCGTTAGATTGATCATGGTCGTTTAAGAGGGAGGAGAGAGAGGTGGTTTAGAGTAACGAACGTTAGTATCGCGACATGACAACTTTATTAGTATTCACTCATTCAGCTTCAATTCCTTTTCAACACCTCAATTCCCAGATCAAACATCCTCTAAACAACCCCACCCAACCCTCGATCTCCAGCAATGTCAACATACAGCATACAGAGTGATAGGGCAGGCAGGCACACCGCCACATGCAACGCTCTCTATCCCAAACCGATCCCTTGACTACATTCGCGCATACTCGATCGCGGCCGCGCCGCGCTGTGCCACGCAGCTCGGTTTCGGGCCCTGACGCTGCTGCTGCTGCTGCTGCTGCTATATGTGTGTAGGTACGGTCGGTACGGGGCGCATTAACATAGATTGTCCGGGCGGCACAGCAGCAGCAGCAGCAGCCGGACGGGCAGATCACATATTCGGGAGCTGTGAGACGGAAGAATGGTGGAGATATGTGGAGTATGGGCATGTTTTTGGATTATTTTGTTTGTTTCTACACAGCTTTTTTTGTTTTCTTTGTTCACTTTGTTCATGGGGAAGAGGGAAGGAGGGAGCAAGGACGGAGCGTTGGAATAAAGTTATCCGCGGCCGTTGCTAAGTAAAGATAGACCTTGGGGCTAGCCCGTTCCCGGTGTGGGATTGGCAGGGGGCAGGGGTGGGGTCCCTGCCTAGCCGTGTGCTACAAACCGAAAAGAGAGACAGCCATACAGACAGAGGGACAGGGCCATCAGAGACACACAGACAGAGAGAGGCAGCCAGACACAGACACAGACACAGGCACAGGCACAGGCACAGGCACAGGCACAGGCACAGGCACAGGCACAGGCACAGACTGCGAGACGGCTGACAGGGGTGCCAGCTTATCCTCCCACCTCAGCACATCCCACCATGGCCAGCACCAGCACCAGCACCAGCACCAGCACCTCACCTCACCTCACTCACTCACCTCAATCACTCACTCACTCACTCACTCACCTCCACCACCGGAACGCAGACGTCGGTGTGCACAGCTCCCAGCCAGAGTTATAACCACACGTATATCACCGTCTGCC